GGTGATTTTGACGTTGTGAGTAACCGTTTGCTGGCAGGTGAATCAGGAAGGGCTTCTTCAATGCCAGCTCGCAGTTTCACAATGGTCCCACCAGTACGAGTTCTGAACAATAGGATGCGACCACAATGAATATTGCCATGAACAAATCCACTGCGGTGGTAAAGCTCCAAGGCTTCCAGCAGCTGGATCGTCCAGCTGCGGAGCACTTCCACTGGGACGGTTCCCACAATATCCAGAAACTCGGCCAGTGTTCCCTTGTTCGAATACTCCTGGAGCGCATAGACAGTCCAGATGCTGTCCTGAGCATCCTGCATGCTCAAGGGTCGAGTTATCTTGAACCCAACAAAATCCACAAGGTTCGGATGCCGTAGTTTCTTCAGGCCTTCAAGCCTGTCCTCACTCGAGCGCATCTTCTCTCGGAACAGAAGGGGCTCGACTCCCTTCTCATCCAGTGAAATCTCTCTCAGAACCAGTAGAGGCGCATGGGACCGGTTGTCGGAGACGACCGGTCTCACGGTATATGTCTCCTTTCCCGGTCCGATCTGGAGAAGCGATTTGCCGTACACTGCGCGGAAGACCAGGGTGGCCTGGTCGGAATCCGTCATAGCTAACGGAGGGTCGAAGGTGATTGCACCCGGAATGTTCTCCACAGCATCAGCGTCCCCATTCGCATCCAGTCCAGGAGTGCGACTTTTACGCCGGGACAGCCGTGCCTTGGCCCGCTCTCGGACTTTGTCCTCCAAGAGCTGCTGTAGGGCACGCTCTTCTTCAGCTGTGGCTGCCTCCTGTTTCCGGATCTCCTCTTGTCGCTCCAGCTCCGCTCGCTGGTTTGCGGCGGCTTCCTGTTCCATTCGCTCCTCCTCTAAGCTCGGAAGATCCTTGTCTTGAGCTTGAGCCTCAGCCACATCTTCCAAGACATCTTGTATCGACACGGCCAGCTCATAGATCATTTCCGAGCCGAGGAGCGTCTTCGGCTTATTCTGTATAATGTCTTGAATTCTCGATCGAGCACCTTTCCGGAGATCGTCTAAGTTTTCCAGGGATAGGTTAGGGTAGGTCTTGGGATAGGTGGTGGGCAGCTCGACGAGCAATTCCAGATGAACGTCGGGATTGGACGATGCTCGTAAATGAAGCTTGAACGAGACCTCGGACGATTGCTATAGAGCTTCTTGGTCAGCAATGCTTTAGAGCGATATCAATGCGACAATCACATACCTGCCAGGCAGAGCGCCTGTGCTGCACTTCCTCAAAGTCATCACCGTAGATGGAGCGCAATGCTTCGACTTCATTCTGGTGGATCTCCTGGTAATTGGTGGGGGCAACTACCGGCGGCGAGAAAGACGGCGAGTCTGGCCGGAGCTGCTGCTTTTTCTCCGCTCGGGGAGAGCCGTGCTTGGGGGCATTGCTGAAATTCTTCTTCTGTTTGTGAGGCATAGCGGGGCGCTGGTCGGGCGGTGAAGATAGTGGATGCACCGTGATCGAGATTGGCCTTTGCCACGGAAATTAGTGACAAAGATGCAGCCGAAGCTGCAGCCCTCTATAGCTCAGTAGAGAACATATCTAAAGCAGAGGAATCAAAAGGGAAGAAAGGTGGGAAAGTATATGTGGAGAGAGAGAGAAAGGTAATTAGACCGGAGGAAGAGGGAGGGGGAGGAAACGGCGAGAGTTAGTCTAGCAGTCAAAAGACGGGAAGAGAGGAAAAGAGCGGTAACCCGACAGCGAGTATATGAACGCCCAATCGAAGCGCCGCCCCGTCGTTTTTCCGCCCACCGCCTTTGGGGCGGGCAGCTCGTGACTTGGCGCATCATCGCCGTAAACAAAGCACAGCGTTCCACGTCAATCCTCTGGCCCCCCAATGGTCTTGCTGGTGCCATGCGTGTCTCGTCCAGTCCCATAATTTGATTGCTGGTGAATCGCCGGATACCTTGTCCCCTGCAGACGCGATGCTGGGGTGGATCACTGGGCAGGAAGACCAGGTCGCAGGTGCGTGTGTTTCCCTCTGTACTTTCTGCTGGTCGCTACGAGTAGTATGGCTTGCTGCCCGCCCTGCTGCTGCTGCTGCGTGCGCGCGCCCTTCCCTCCACCTCCCTTCAGATACGGCCCAATAATGGCCTTCCAATTTTTCTGACCTTGTTTCCCACCCGCGCTCATCGCGCGCTGACTTGTTTTTCTAACTCGTTTATCCCCATAGACAACTCAAGGGCTGGAGAGCCACCCGAGACGCCCGCTCCCGTGTTTGCGATCCGCGCTTTCAAGAGCGCCTTGTTTGGTACCCCAGGCGCCGATGACGACGAGTCCACCCACCGTACTACTACTGCTACTACTGCTGTGAAGACGAAGAATCCCTCGACCAATCAGCTCCTGAATGATCACATCACGTTGAAACCATCCAGTGGAAACACAGGGGATGCTTTCAAGGCTTCCAAAGCCGACTTGGATCTGGCAATGAACGCGATGGCATCGCCTACAAAAAGTATCCTCGTAACACCCGGAACCGCATCCAACCGTCGCAAAACCGTGTCGTTCGGCGACGGTGTCGTCGATAACGAGCGCAAGCGGGAAGACCCGTTCACGAAACCTAACAAAACCCCCACCTCCTCTTCCAACAACTTCTCCAGCCAGCGGTCGGCCACCTCGTCGGACGGAAAGTTCAAACCTCGCAGTAAACTGACGCAAGCCTTGATGGATTCGCGAGAGAAGTCCAAGGGCACGGGGCTCTTTTCGTCACAGGACCTCGAGCCCAACCCCTCATCGGAGGGGTCCAGACCATCGCCAACGGAAGATGACAACGACGATACCATCAACCTGAACGAGCCACGGTCGCAGTCGGGGAAATACTGGAAAGCCGAATTCGATAGTTACCGGACAAAAACCACGTGGGAAATCAAGAAGCTCATCCAGTACCGCTCGGCCGCGAAAACATACGCCAAGAAGAAGGATGAAGAAGCGTCGCGACTCGCCGATAAGTTGAGGGAGGAGGAAATCAAGGTGTCTGAGATGGAGCGCCATGTTACCCATCTAGCATCGACCATGGTTGGGGAAAGCGCCAATGCCGATAAAGAGAAATTGGTGCAGGACCTCACCAAGCAGACCGCGTTGGCTCTGCAGTACAAACACCGGGTCAACTCACTACGCAAACTGCTGGAACGACACGGTGTTGTGGGCAACGAAGTCGATGATATCGCTGAGCAATCTGAATCCGAAAGTTCTTCAGAGAAGACCACGGAAGAGCTCCGCAAGACCCAGCAGGCTCTGGACGAAGCGAAAGCCAAGATCGACGATATGAAGCTTCAGCAGTCCGACTTCACCAAATTGCAAGATCTCGCGCGCAGCTCTGAACAGAAAGCCTGCGAGTTGCAGAAGGAGAACGCGTCTCTCAAGCAGACCCTAGCCCGCGTGAAGCAGGAGATGAGCAAATACGAAGGACGCCGCAAAGAAAAGGAAGCCAAACTGAAGCAGCGCGAGGCTAAACTGGAAACGCGCATCCAAGAGTACCGCGAACGGTTGAAGAACGCCTCTCAGCAGCATCGCGATCACGAGGAGAGTCTAAAAGAATCCTTCAATGAGGAACGCCACCGCATGCAGGAGCAGATCGACCAACTCAAGATCAAGCTTACCGCGATCGAGAGCCTCCCACACACCCAGGTTCGCGCGCGCCATAGCGAGAGCCCTCGCAAGAACTACACCGGTGTGCATGTCTTCGATTTCGGGCAGAACAGTCCCCAGAAAGACCCCGAAGACGACAACACCGCGGACATCGACGAGCCACCCAGTCCCAGCCCGCGTGCAAAAGAACGCCGCTCCTACCCATCCCGATACACCACCACCGCCGGCGACCTCGACCTCAAACGAGCCATGAAAGCCATGGGCATCACCGACGAAGACCAGCTCGCCTACCTCGGCGAATCCCTCAAACCTCCCAAATCCCGCTACCAAAACGAGAACCACGATGACGAAGAACCAGCCACCATCCCGCCCTCCTCCCCACCCGACTACCCCCATCACCATCACCACCCACCACCCTCCACCCGCCCGCGCCCTAAACAGAAATCCAACAATACAAACACCTACCGCAGTCTCTACGCCCCTACCAACACAACCATGACCTCCCTCGCCCACCACCTCGCCAACAACCTCGACGACAGCCACCACGGCCGTCTGCGCGCGCGCCGCTCTCCCTCCAAATATAGCCTGGACGCAGTCACGGCCCTCCCGGACTCACACGTCCTCGACCGCGCCAAGCGCCGTCAAAGCCTCGCAGCCGTCGTGCCCCGGGATTCCATCCCTATGGACCGCAAACTGCAGGCCCAAGCACGTCTCAAGCAACGAAAAGAGGAAACCCGAAAGGGGAAAGAGAATATGCGCACCTATACGAACCAAGCATTATCGGTTCTTGAACCTATTTCTTAATGTTTCTCTTTCTTTATCTTCTTATCTCCTATATGTTAGATGGGAACGGTACGGAGTGAAATGGACGGATGGTGGATGGATGGATGAACTTCCCTCTCTAGTCACGGTTTGCTTTGATACTTCAACCACCTTTCCTTTTGTGTTGCGATCATGGAAATACCTCTCCTTGTTGTCTGGTCTGGTCTGATCTGATCTGATCTGTCTTTTGTTGTTGGTGGTCTGGTGATATGGTCTGGTCTGCTTTGCTCTGATCCGGGTGTTCTTTTTCCTCTGTTGATGTTGATGTCACTGTCAATCACTCACTACTTAGCTCTAGTCCGTTGATCGTACGTAATTTTTAGTCTTTATTTCCCTCCACACACTTTCTTTTAGATTCAAAAGTATAGTCAACTACCTAGTCTAGTTTAGTCTCTAGTACGTATTTACTTTGAACGACAGACGAGGAAACCGACCAGTGGTGCGCATTATGATCCTTCTAAGTACTTAAGAAATGTATAACAAAAAAACAACTTAGTGTATCCCATCTCCATCTATCAGTCCAATTCATATCTATCAATGATTTATGATCTAATATAACATCTACACAACATCTAAGCCTTCCCATCACAAAACGACACAACAGCCCACTTCCCACTCCACGCCCACTTCCGCGCCTCGTCGCCCCCACCGTTAGGCATCTGGCGGAGCTCCTCATCCACACCCTTGGGCAGACCAACCACCACATCGGCCTTGCAGGTGCGGAAAGCCATGACGCGGACGCCGGATTGCGGGCCCAGTGGGCCGATGGCTTCTGTGAAGGGGGTGGTTGGGTCCCAGGCAGCCTGTACATAATATTAGATCAGAACTTAAGAAGGGTGGTGAGAATAGAGGGGACGTACATCGTTGGTCAACTTGCGGTAGTTCAAGTCACCCTTGAACAAGACCAATTCGCTGTCCTTCAGGTCGTTGAAGAGGTCCGGGGCTACATATGGCATGCGCCAGTAGCTTCCTGGGGTAGTCCAGAAGGTGTGAGGACGGATGATCAGCTTTCCTTCCGCGTGGAGGTGGCTCCAGTGGTCGAAGAGGAATTTGACTTCGGAGACTTCCTTCTCCGAGAGGGGGTCGAAGGTCTTGCCGGACTCGTCGGGGGAAGTGTAGAAGGCCTGCGGGTCGGAGAGGGCGGCGATAAGGGCGGCGAAGTCCGGGGGAGTGACGTCGGAGACGAACCAGGGGATGTTCTTGGGGTGGAGGACGACAGTGGTTGCGAGGCCGGCGGAGAGGAGGTAGCCGGCGAGGATGAGGTCGACGAAGAGCTCGAAGCCGGAGTTGTCGAGGACGATGTCGACGCGGCGATCCTGATTCTTGCGGTCGCGGCGGGCCTGGTGCAGGACGTCGAAGGAGGCATTGAGGTCGTTGACGAGGATATTCTTCTCCGAGGCCTTGCGGGCTTCCGAGCCCTGGAGCTTCTGGATGTCTTCGTAGGTGAGGGAGGTGAGCAGGGAGAGGTCAGTGGCATTGCCCCAGAGGCAGATCTCGCACATCTCGGAAAAGAGGATGCGGTCGGCTTGCTCGATCTGCTCCGCGGTCTTGCCATCCGTGCCCTTGCTTGCTTCCTCGGCCAGTTCCTTGTATCGTGCGGCGAGTTCGAGGACGGCGGGGCGAGATGACTTGAAGGTGGACATCTTCTGGCGGGCAAACACGTCATAGCCCTTCCAGTGCTTGGAGAGGGAGAAGAAGGTGCTCAGGCGTCTGTCTGGGTGGATGTCAGCTGGGGTGTATGTATGGAGGTATGCCAATTGCACGCACAGAGGTAGCATTCTGAGTAGAGCCATGCGACGTCGTGCCATGAAGGGTTTCCCCGCTGCTCCAGCTCCTGGTTGTACGCCGCAATGTCGGGCTGGCCGTCGTCGGGGAGGGGGCTGTAGCTGAGTCAATGCCTGCCTCTTTCATCGAGATCGTATAGACGGGGATATTGATCTCACGTCAACTGTCTGTTGTGTTGCAGCTCATATTTGAAAGCTGCGAGGTTCCCAATGATCGCTTTCCCTTCCTGACGCTTCTCCTCGTCGGTTACATCGGCAACGCTGCGGTGCAGATCATCAATCGCGCCAGTCTGTATGTGAAATGTATTAGTCGAGGCATGTACTGCAATAGTTTAGATTGCAAGAAGCATACCAAGATGACCGGCCAGCGTTCGTGGGCCGAGACCGAGGCGAAGCTGGACTTGTCGGAGGTGAGATACTGCGCTGCGGAGGGGAAGGCGGGGTTAGTTTGGGCTGCAGGAAGAGGGGCAGTCATTGTCACTCACGGGTCTTAGGATCGTATTCCATGATGAAGAAAATGATTATGTGATTAAATAGATAGGAATAACTCAAAGAGAGAAGCAGAGAAGAAGAAAGAGAGGAAAGAGTGCGAGCCAAGATGGAGGAAGAGCGAGAAACAAACAAGACGTCGGTTGGGAATCGCGGGGTCCCTGCGGTCGGGATTCTCTGCACCGACAGACACTTTTATACCTCATCCATTCATTTATTTCTTCCCCATCTTCTATCTAATTAAATACACGCAGAACTCCGACTGGAAGACAAGGCGCAACACAAGAACCAATTCGTCCAACAATTCCCTGTGCGACAGCCAATCCAACGCCGCCAGACCTGCACATGCGGGACAACTCAACAGCAAAGACATACAGCTAGATAACCTTGAAAATAACATATAAGTAGCAAGATAGATAGATTTCCGCTATGCAAAGAGTTCACGAGATCGTCGTCAATCATCCGTAGATACATGGCCCTCGTACTGTGTAATCCAAGGCTTTCCGCATCTTCTTCTTCTCATCTGAACGTCGCAGTTCCCATCCTGAAATGTGTTGTGTATATGTATCATGTCCCGTCCGATCGGCGAGATTGACTCGCTCCCAATCCATCCCATGAACGCCAGCTTGCAGAGCAGTTAAAGCCTCTCACATCATGGAGGACATGAGAGAGTTTTGCGCATACGCCTGGGAGTTGTCATTAGCATGCCAGTCCGCACCTCTCATTAAGATAAACTATCACTTACCATCGGCTTAATATCCGGGTGAGGAACAGCCTCAAACACCTGGTACTCAAGCTTGAGCTCGGGCCCGATCTTGATAAAGGCTCCCTTGTTCTCCGTGGTGTCGCAGTACTTCGGAGCAGAGAAGACGGTGATACACCGTCCGTCGTGCTCGACCTCGTAGCCCTCCATGCGCACCTCGTGCGAACGAATGATTGCCTCCAGACCATTCTTCTCACAGAAGCGCTTGGTGACGTCCGGACCAAACTGAAGACCAACACCACGCTTGCTGGGTCCGCGACCGGGCGCGGTCTGCGGGTCTGTCCACAGCATTTCCATCATCAAGCCCTGTTGTCCGGGCTGGCGCTGGTTGTGACGGTTCAGCTTGCGGATATCATCAAGAGTAGTGTTGTCATCCGAGAAGAGACCGCCGTGGAGCACGAGGTACTTGTTGCCGATCAACGTAGCCAGCGGCAGAGCCGAGAAGGACTCGGAGAAGACCTTGAACACCGTCTCATTGTACTTGGCCTTGCACTCGCCCTCAAAGCCATACACCTTGTTCATGTCGTCCGTCTCGTGGTTTCCACGGTTCAGGAAGATTCCGTTGGGCCGCAGCCACTTGTAGGCGTAGAGCAGAAGAGCAATCTCCGTCGACCACGATCCACGGTCCACGAAGTCACCGTTGAAGAGATAAGCATGGGTATCGCTAGGGTAGCCGTTCAGGCGGAAGATCTCGAGGAGATCGAAGAATTGACCATGAGTGTCACCGCAAACCGTCAACCTAGTACCCTCCTTAACACCAACCTCCACCATCGTCGGTTCCGCATAGACAAGATCCTTGACGGCCTTGATTATTTGGAAAGCATATTTGCGATGGATCTTCTTCCCGTTCTTGAACCGCTCAATCATATCATCAATGAACTCCTGCGTCATTTCCTTCTCCAAGCGCACACCATCATACTTGTCATCCACAACCATCGCATCGATATCCAGGTCCTCGAAAGCAGAGGGCGGGTCACCGACCTCGATCGCCTTCTCGAACTCGAGCCGACGAACGAGCTTCTCGCACTCGGTGAGCTTTAGCTTGGCATCACGGTTGTTGGGCTCTCTCTTGATCACGGCCTTGAAGTCTTTCAGGGCTTCCTTGTAGTTCAGAATAGCGGAGTTCGCAAGGGCGCGGCGCCAATAGGCCTAGCAACGGGGTTGGGTAAGTCAGAGGCGAACAACAGTAGCAACAACCAGCAGCATCCCAACGAACCTTGACATAGTTGGAGTCAAGCTCCAGTGCCTTGGAGGCATCAGCGATCGCAAAACCGTAAGCCTCAAGTTTGATATGTGCCTAACCAGGAACCCCAGAAACAGTCAGTATCTTCAACACCTCCACCAGTTTCAGCAGTAGCGCCACCTACCTGAGCGCGGTTACTAAAGAACGACGGCTCCTTATCATACTTCTCAATGGCTCTCGAGTAAAAATCTATGGCAGTAGGCCACTCATGTTCCGCGAAGGCCTTGTTCCCCTGCACCTTGAGGGCAGTGGCGGCCTCGAGATCGGGGGAAGCCATCGGCGCAAAAGAAGCGTTTAACGAAAGGAGGGGTTTTTGGGCAAGAGAGCACGAAAGCGGAACGTTCGCAGAATCTAGTCAGTATATTAAAGGAAAGCAGAAGCGTTTATAAAAAAGAGAAATGAAAATAATAGAGAAGGCAAAAAAGAAAAGAAAGTTCCTGAAACTTTTCCTCGGCTCTCCCGTTCCTGGATTCAACTTTCCAGGCTTAAACTCGGGTCGATGATGATTGACTGACTGACTGATTGATTGACTTGCTTCCCTTCGTTTCCCCGTCACTTTTCTCCGGCCTGGTGGTCTTGGCGCGCCTCCGATTCCAGAACCCTCTTGTCTTGCCGCATGCATCTTACCTACTTCCCAACACCCTCTCACCCTCCCTACCTTGTCTATCAATTCCGACCCTGAAAATCAAAAAGGGAAATAAAGATGTCCTTCTACGTCGCCCCCAGCCAGCAGCGCACTCTCCGCGCCTGCATGGTGTGCTCCCTCGTCCAACTGCACAGCGTACGTTCAGCTGCTACCTCCCAATTAAAACCAACCCAACCCAACCCGAACAACAACTAACATTTTCTCCTTTCTTACTGCTTAGAAATTCATGCGCGAAGGCTGTCCCAACTGCGACAATGTCCTCGGCCTCCGCGGCAACAACGACGCGATCCAAGAATGCACGTCGCAGGTCTTCGAGGGCCTGGTGACGCTCCGCGATCCCACAACGAGCTGGGTGGCTAGGTGGCAGAGATTGGATAGTTATGTGCCGGGGACGTATGCGGTCAAGGTTACGGGATCGGTGAGTACACTCACCCACCCACCCATACTCAGCTTCAATGAGGTCCGGTGGTGGTGGTGGTGGAGAGAATATTGGGCTAACGGTGATGGGTGAACAGCTTCCCGATGAAATTATTTCCAGTTTGGAGGATTCGGGTGTCAAGTATATTCCGTATGTTGTCCTTCTCTTCCGTTTTGCATGTCTTTTGCGTTGTGTGTTGCGTATTGGATTGATTGATGAGTGCTGATTATTATGTGTCCCGATACAGGAGGGATGGTAGCACGGGTGAAGAGGAGGCGTGATCGATCGATGTCTGCTCGGCTCTTTTCACACAATTCTTCGCTACTTTTGTTGCGATATGTCGGTTCTCTATCTTGCACGGCATAGCGATATTTTCTCGATAGGGAGATGGTTCTGGCCTTCTTTCTCGATTTGCACGATTGGAGTTTCGGATTTATATTTTTCGCTTTCTATTTATGTACGGTACGGGGTTTGTCGGGTTGGTATGATTCTGCACGCTGTTTATAATTACAAAGGGGGATGTCTACTGGATACCCGGACAATAGATCAAGATCAACGCTGCCTTGACGGCATCACTTCGTTGCTTAATGACTAGACTAGCTTCAAGGCCATAAATCGTCGCGCAAATTGCCATATAAATATCGGCTCAAGATATCATGAAAAGAAATTGCCCCATCCCAATACCGTTATAACGCCATAAGTCTCAGACAAAAGTCCAATGAAATCAACCGTGCGCTTACAGCTGCTTAGTGATCTTCTCAACGCTCTCCAGGAGGATATCAGCTGCAACATGTTAGTGTCTGATCTTGTTAACCCGAATCTAGGGCCGACTTACCATGGTGCTTCTGGAAGACCAGCATGGGCCTCAGGCGGACGGCGCTCTGGCCACTACCACCAATGTTGACACCAACGCCCTTGGCCTTGACCAGGAACTCGTCACGCTTGGGGGTGTCCCAGGCAATGAAGGTTCCCTGGCCCTTACCACGCAAGTTCTGCAGGTGCTCGGGGTATTGCTTGGCGAGACGCTCCAGGCCAGAGAAGAGGTAGTCACCGGTGGCAGCAGTGTTCTCCACCAGGTTCAGGCGCTCGATCTCCTCGATGATGCCACGGAAGATCAGAGCACGAGCCGGGTCACCCATCCAGGTGTTGAACTGACGGTAAGGCTTGTTGGGACGCAGAGCCGGGTTGCCATAGTAGTAACCGGCAGTCTGGGCCTTCTTGGAGAAGGTCACCATGTCGGGGGGAGTCTCCAGGTTCCAGTGGTCGTGGGCCCAGAACTTGCCAGTGGCACCCACACCAGTCTGCACCTCATCGACAATGAAGAGGACGTTGTTGCGCTTGGTAATCTCACGCAGGCCACGGAAGAAGGCCGGGGAGGCGTGGTTGTCACCACCCTCCGACTGGATGGGCTCGACAACAACAGCAGCGACGGGGTTGTGCCACTCCTTGATCAGGCGCTCGGTCTCCTGCAGGCAACGCTGCTCTTCCTGGGCGTTCTCCTGGGCGTGCTCCTCCAAGGGGTACTTCAGGGAGGGGAAAGGAGCCTGGGGCCAGTCAAAGGCGGGGATATCCAGCTTGTGGATGGGCTTGCTGCGAGTTGTAGACAGACTGCCGAACAGGCGACCGTGGAACGCCGACTTGAAGGACATGATGGACAGCTGAGGGGAACCAGGGGACTGGTTCTTCATGGTAGTCTCCAGCTCCTCCTCGGTGAACTCGGTCTCAGCGCCACCACGCTCGCGCTGACGGTAGTACATAAAGGCAGCCTTGTAGGCAGTCTCGTTGGCATCCGAGCCAGCCAGGGCGGTAAACACCTGGTTAAGGCCCTTGGGGGCAGCCTTGAGGATACCAGTGTTCAGGATGTCAGCCCAGTCGTGAGAGGGGAAGTTACCCAGAGCCGGTCTGTTGATCAAAGCATTGACCATCTCAGGAGACTCTGCCACCTTGCGGAGGTGGGGGTTGTTGTAGCCGACGGGGATAGAGGCAATCTGAGCATAGCTGAGGACAATATATGTTAGAAACTATTCGAGCGCATTATCGCAAAATAACCACAGGTTAACAATAGTAGCTTACACATCTAGAAGCACGTTTCCGTCCAGATCGGCAATGCTGTGTCAAAGTTAGTGCTCGTTCGGCGGTCTTGCCCGCAAGGGGTGAGATAAATGCAGGTTGACTTACTAGTTACCGTTGGACTTGTAGTAGTCCGTGAGCATGTTCAAGCTGCGGACGTCAAAGACCTTGTCGAGCTTCGCAGCAGCTGCCTTGTTGTTAGGGCCAGGAATGGCCGTGGCCAGCTTGGGAGCAGATGGCTCATCGGGGAAATAAGGCTTCTCCGCAGCGCGCATGTGCGGAGTAGTGGTGAGGGTGCGGACGGCCGACAGGCGCGTCGTCGGGCGAAGTCTCAAGCTGGAACGGAAGATGGCAGCCATTGTGATGAATTAATGGAGAGGAGATGGGTATGAGAGAAAGGAATGAGTTGGGGTGGCCAGGGGCACAGAAATACCCAGCTGGAAATCAGGGATGTGGGGAAGGATACGATGACGATAACGCAATGATGATTGATAAGGAGCTCCTCGATCGATGCTCAACCAGACAAGCAGCAAACCAGCACCGATTATAGCTTCAAACTGGTGCAATTGAGATGACTATGGGGAGAGAAGACAAAGCACGAGAAAAATGGCCGCGCGAAGGGCTTTTAAATGGAAGCGAGGGGGCAGCTGTTGAAGGAGAGCTCGCGATGGATTGGAAGCTGCCCCGCGCCGTACAGCTGCTTCGGCGTTTTGCACCAATCAGCGATCGCGCTGGCCCCGTGCTCGGCGACTTGCCAACCCATCCGGAGAGTCGCCGTTCAGCATGATAATTCCCAATGATAATAGGAATTCCATAATCCAATCATTCAGATGAAGATGTTCTCTGTTGATGCAATCTGCTTGCTCTTCCGCCGGCTGCCGATGACGGTGGAGTGGCAATAGCCATAAAATGCGACTGGTCAATGTGTTTGAGAACATATCAGATCTGCATCGCTTATCAGTGGCAGGGGTGGGCGATAAGCAGCCCATCTCTCGCTGCGAACTCCGATGCCATCACCGCCATTCCAGTGATAGCCAATTGCTTACATGAAGTATAGAATAAGTAAATGGTTTGATGCCGTCACTATAGCTAAGAATACTGCTGGATTGTCGGATAGCTTCAATAGTAAGAACTTGTTCTCAATGGCAGTGCTGCTTGGAATATATTTTGCAACTAGCAGTACTGTTACTGAACTGGATTCTTGGGAAGATCAGTTGAGTAACTTTCCCTTTCCGCTTTAGGTTGAACTCGGCGCTGCTTTTTGCTCACTGAGTGGGCCGGAGTATAAGAGAAGTACAAAAAATATGTTCTGAGCAATCCTTGAATGATCCTGGAGTGCCTCAGGAGAATATATTAGAGAAAGTGACTGTTATTCTGAGCACTTGTCTAAGCTTACATAATCTAGCTATGTGATCTAAATAAACTATGCACTAACAATATCAAGTATTGTACTTTTGTCCCGCCGGGGTGTCCATCATTATCCTGGCCCTTAGAAAATATCAATTAAGCCTTATTTCAATGATTCTTTTATATTTGAGCCAAACTTTTGAGTATCAACATACTCTTGAGCACCAATAGTATCAAATCGCAAGCCTTAGATAAGCAGGCTCGGGGTCATCTTGGCATAAGCCGAGCCGTGCGATCCCAAGCTTTTCGAGCAAGCCCTGCCATGTCTAGGACGGATAGATCTGCTAATCGAAACGTACCTTTGAACAAGATGAAATAGCCTGCCAGCTATTTCTTATATTCATACGAAACTCTAGTTTGTTCACTTCGCTTAGTAGTATGTGAGACCTCAGGCACCAATAGGTGCATAGGCGGGAGCCTCTTATACTAGAGCATCAGTCCTATAACAGCTTGCCTGACTCATTTGGTTGACAATTACATTATTAAGTTAGCAGCCACTCGGCAATAACAAGAATCCGGAGATAAAAGATGCTGGTCAGCATTTAGCGGCAGCTTTAACATTTCCCTTATTTTTTTCGCCCCCCATATCCCCGTGGTTAATTCCGGATGGCTTCAGAGTGGCGGAAACGGGCAAGATTGAGGTGTCTGTAGCCTCGTACTAGTACTTTGTAAGCCATAACCAGAAGATGCTGTTCCGAAGCCTCCGGTCCAGAACGATATCGCGCATGTTTAAAAGGTCATCAATTGAACCCTAATCCCGGACAGCAGATCTTCCTGAAAGTGCTTTTGACCCGACCGACGTTCCTCTCTCTAATTCCTGGTTACCCCAACTTACAACATGAGTACTTACCTTGTCACCGGCGCCTCTCGTGGCATTGGACTCGAATTGGTTCGTCAGTTGGCCGCCAAAACAAGCGAAACTGTTTAGACTATCTTCGCTGCTGCCAGGACTTCTGGAGGCCCTCTTTTTCAGGAGCTCTTGCAACAGCACCCGGATCGGGTAATCTTTGTGCCTCTGGATGTCACAGAGAAAGAGAGTGTCAAGAACGCCGTGACACATGTTGCGACTGCCCTCAATGGAAAAGGCCTGGATGTGCTAATCAATAACGCGGGTATAATGACGCCTGGCACTGTTGAGAATATGCTTGTGTTTACTTGTCCTATACGTCCTGTTTGGCTATAAACTGTCCTAGTAAAGCAGTGTGGTCTAATACTTTATTTATAGGAACGATTTAGAAGATACATTCCGCGTCAATGTGGGAGGGGTTCATCTTGTCACAAGAGAATTTCTCCCCCTTCTGAGAAACGGAAATAAGAAAAGAATCGTCAATATGTACATGATCCACCCAAATTCTTCCGATGTCCTATTATTAACAATAGCTTCCTATTCAGCTCGACAAGTGTAGGCTCTATTCAGTTGCAGCCAACGTATAGAGCGATGCCTACACCCTCCTACAAAAATCTCGAAAGCTGCATTGAACATGCTCACCGTACTCTACTCCCAAGAGTTGGAGGCTGAGGGTTTCACCGTATTTTGTGTGAGCCCTGGTGTAAGCCGCCCCATCTTACCTAAAGCCATCTCCTTTTAATAAACCAACCGTTGACCAAAGAATAGTGGCTGAAGACCGAGATGGGAAGCGATGATGCGGATCTTCCAGTCGACACTGGCGTTGCCGCTGTTCTGGATATTGTTCTCACCACCGGCAAAGAAAAGAATGGACGATTTCTCAATATCCACGTACCGGGATGGGAAAATAACTCAGGTATGAACCAGTACGATGGGAAGGAGTTGCCGTGGTAACCGATATATCACTACTGGTACCCTGTGCGACATCCATGTCGCTGTCCTCCAGTGTCAATGATGTGCCGGCATCTCGATCGGATACTGCCTAGCAGTTCAAATCCGGAGGATTTACTCCTGAAGCACACCAGGATAGGATCCTGACAGTGTGTGTTCTGTGAGTAATCTGTGAGTGTCCTAGAGTGTACACAGACCGTTCACGTGCTGCTCTCATAAAAGCGGCGGTATCTCAAATCGGGTCAAGTAAATGGGAATTGCAGCAAAACAATTCGCTTATGCACTAGTAGTGGCATGTATACATCCTACTACCCTGATTCACACTAGCATCATCCAAACTACTACTATGTAATCATACTACTATAGAGCAAGATAATAGGGGTCTCGCTTTGCGATCTCCCTTGATATCAGTTATTGTAAATGATAGTAGGAATATATGTTATCTCCGTAGTATCTTCGTAGTACGAAGCCTGGTGTAGATTCAATCCAGATATAGATGACTTTCTCCAGATATGTATAACGTCCCGGATGATCTTTCGGTTTGATAATAAGTGTACGGAATACAGCTATTTGGATATTATAATATATATAGATGTTTACCAATTGACAATCTAACTAATCATGAACTCTGTAGAATAGACAAGAAATAGATTAAGCCCAGATAGTTATGTTCTTTTCATATAATGCACGGAATACTTCTTCCGGATAGTCTTTCCTCGGATATACCTTCCTCGGATAAGATCCCTCGGATACACTTTCCGTGAGTAAAGATCTATCATATTTAATGATTGAAACAACACGCAAAAACCTATAGCTACAGACTTAATATGGAATTAACCATGGCTCAGCTGATAAGAACCTAGTTGGTACAGCTACTACTAGAAAAGCGCTGACAGCTAAGCCATGCACAAGAAAGTTCTACATTTGTTAGATTAGATTAGATTAGGTTAGACCTGAGAACCAATAATGTGAAAAGAGGGGCACAATGGCAGGAGACCAGACTATTATCTAACATCTAGCGACAAACGAAGCAGTACAGCATGCGATAATCCAATAAAACAAGCGTAACTGAAAACATGAATATCAAAGCCAATCAGACAAGAATCTAAGTCCCTGATGATCAAGCCTTCAGGCCTTCTAGAATTCGTATTATATATGCCGACAATGATGACCTTTAAGGAACAGTATTAGCGGCTCTCCCGACTTTGCATTTATATCTTTGTGAACTAATTAGCTTTATGATCGATTCGAGCTAAAACATGACCGTCCACCCATAAGCCACCCGATAAGATCCTGCACATAGTGGTCATTGTCAACCACGGCAAATAAATACGCAGAGGTATATACTCAATGCCTCCATTTTTAAATATACAAGGAATAAACTAGAATAAGCTAAAGTAAACGGACAATACAATGGTGAAAAGCTAGACCATTAGTCTAACCATAAGAATAACCATATTTAAGCTCCCTCTAACACCAAGACCGACAAGGAAAAAAAAAACCGAACCAGGCACATACACAACCACAAAAGTCCTCTTACTCCCCCACAACCCTTAGTCAACTTGATTTGTCAACTTTAAATCCATCCAGCTCCCTCTTGTCTTACTCAGACATCTCCATCTTCTCTAATCCTCACAATCCCAACACCAAAGCTGAAGCGGGGTATAGCACACCATATTATACCCTTAAAATTCCAAATACGATCTACTAGATACATATGCACACACGGACCCTCCTACTTTAATCTCCGATTAATCTCCGATGCAGCTGAGCTGAACAGGTAACTATTTAATCACGATCATAATCTCAGTATTATAGTCTAGACCAATTACTACTATCTAGTGTAGTGTAGTGTAGTGTACAGTGTACACGATAGTCCGATGTCTAGACCTTCTCTTGGAGGTGGGGTGGAAATAGAGAGAATCTGTGCCCCTCTCCCACACACACACACACACACACACACACACCCACAATCGGAAAATAAAACTGACAACTAAGTAGGCCAGGCCCTCTTTCTAGTCCATGAGAAACAGAGAAGGAGACAATAATTCCTCAACAAACCACGTAGTAGAAATAACTACCCCTCGACCCCCCTCATCCCTCATCCATTGTCAGATCTTAATGACACCCGTACCTGCATCATATGCAAGACGGGCCCGTAGTTTATTACTAGTCTACAGCACGGCAGTCACCAATCTAGATAGGTCAGGAGTTACCGGTCAGCTTCAGGGATGAGATATTATCAGATGAAAAATCAAGGGATCAATAATTATCCATCCGACGGAGCGGACACGGGCTCTCAATTCGGTAGGCCCGAGCCGTAGTGACTGTGCGTGCTGCACTGAGGGAGGGATCCCTGCAGGCGGATGATAATATTACTGTCTATTAAGTAACAATCATGGATGGATACGGAGTACGCAGTACGTAGAAGCGGGACTCGATGGGGACTGTATAGGATCGGATCAGGCCATACTGGCATCGGAGTTAGGCGTATGCGAGGCATGAGTGGAGTCATGACCTAAAAGTAATTGCAGTGGAGCCAAAGACCCACTCCGTTTACGGAAGGAATTGGTGACACTTAATATCGGATGGGCTGAGATGGCCGCGAAAGACGGTCGCGTGATGGTTGTGTGTGGTATATCATATTCGTGATGTGTGTTCTGTATACTATAGGTACATGACTCCAGCCTCAGAAAAAGTATACATAGGTAGTAAGTTATACATGTTCATTACTCAATTCATAACCAGATGACTTTCCCTTGTTGCATTAAGGGGAATGGAAGAAAGAAAAGGAAAGATAGAGAGAGCGTGAGACCCTAGACGGGGTTCTGGTGTTCGTAAAATGTGTGTTGCTCCTTGGAGTCACGGGTGAGTGAGGTGGAGGAGACGTCGCTACCAGGCGACGTATAGACCACACCAGTGTTCTTCAAGTCGACGTGGTGCGTCGGGGTTGCGACGCGCGTGTGATTCGACATGACCTGGGAGTTGTTGCTATGACTGGGTCTCCGATTCTCGGTCCATGTCTCCATCTCAACAGTGCGCAAGACCTCCATACGATCCACCGTGGTGTCGCCCTGGTAGCCATACTGGCGATCTTCGATCATTTTGGAAGCACGAGACTGCTTGGACGGCCCAGTGGAAGACCACCCCTTCAACTCCCGGTTGCCGAATGAGGATCCATAGCCACGAGCGGACGGGAGAAGGTGGGGTAAGACAAATCCGATAAGAGGTCTCAGTGCAGGCGCAGAGGCACAGATCTAAATACAGAGTTAGCCGTGAGACGAGCACATGTTGTGAGGGTCATCATACCAGTGCCAAGTTGATTTCGATCGATCCGGCGAGCAGGATAGGCCATGCCATCCAGGTAGTGTCATAGGAGGCCATCATACTCTTCCAGACATATACTGTGCGCACTGTACCCGCCACGTTGACGAAGATACCCAGACCGAAGATCGAAATCACGGCCATCCGCTGCCGGGCAGGTAACTTCAGGTTCCAGATCAATGGCATCGGGACCAGAGTGCAGAGGAAATCGGTGAAGATGTTGACAACACTCGCAGAGAATACAGCTGCGCCATAATTGACGCAATGATAAGGATACATTGGCTCCAAGTCCCAGTATGCATGGATAGGCCTGATAACAGCGCAATTAGTCAATGAATGCAGTGGGTCGAGGGACGGAGGCACTCACGAGCACTGAAAGATGCTGACCAACAGAAAGACAATGCAGCACAAGGCCACAAAGATGAAGGAGACAATCACGACAATGTTGTAGACCCTGTATAGTCCCTTACTTCCCGTTCCGATGAGGCGCTTGCAGAACCACAGAACCGAAAGCTTGGTGATAGAACAGGATAGAGAAAATGTAATCTGAAAGCCGAGGTTGTATTTGGTGACGACGGGAAGCCAGGACAAGGGTACGTCCCACACATGCCGGTTCGCACCCCAGCGCTCAGTTGCCAGAGAAGTAACCGCACACATGCCGACTGCGATAGCCTAGGAAGTGTTAGACAGACCAGTAACCCCAGCATAGATGCATCTTTAGACGTACAAAAGCGATGACAATGAAGAAGTCATCAAGACCAGGTGTGCAAGTTATCTTGAAACGTGTGTAAAGACGGAGGACAGTCACGACGAATGCGATGGAAATAAGGACGATGTTCACGATATTCACGGCAGGCCCGCGAGTCACCGGGTCGACGTAGTTGGGCGTGGGCCATGTGGCCAGAACCTCGGCCGGAGGGAGAAGCATGCTGGCGATTTATACTAGTGATAGTAGCGAAAGTAATAGGATGAAAAATGTTGAAAGATCGTGGCACTTGTTGTATGTTGCCGTATTGTTGTCGCGATTGTCGAAAAGTGTGGTCAACCATCAGCAACCCCCAGTCGAGCAGTCGAGAGTCGCATTGGCCATCGTCACAATCAAGATCAATCTGAAGTGTTGTTTCAAAGCGAAGGTAGTCAGCCGTGGCCGACTGAATATGCACGAGGGCCACCTATGTTGTCAGCACTACCGCCGAGGGGAACTAGAGAGATGATATACCACGATGGCGAGTCCCCACCCCTGGCCTAGACAAGTTGCGACATAAATGGTCCCTTCGCTAACCATGGACTAGGGAGTTTAATTCTGTGTGTCATTTTGAGTTTAATGGATTTGTTCAATTTCAGATCCAATATCCCGGCCAAGCGGGAAGTTAACTCCTCCAATGAGACTGGAAGCGGACCGACCTCCACCGCAGACCATTTTATCCAACCGATGGCAAGAAGGAGTCACAGAACCGAGAATTGCCGGGGTACCAAGCCAGCACAGGACAATGATAGGCAGATCCATCGACCCGTCGTTCACGGTCTGCTCCACATGCCAGGGGGGCGATCTGAGCATTTTGAGCCATTTGAATGGGCTTGCTGGCGGAAATGTCAATTGGGGATTAGGGATCTAAATTGGACCCGGACCAGAAAGTCAAACCAGTTAGCTCGTCTGAAATTTGCGGGCAGGGGTGCACTCCTGGTTCAGCACTCACTCCATGCGGGGCAAAGGATGTGCAAAACTTAGGTTGTGACTTCAGCGAGGAGAGATGAGGGTAGTTCGGGAATGGGGGCAGGACGACTGCAGCCGAGGCCACTGAGGAAGCCCATGGAGGGAATTCTGGTCCTTCAGACAGCGGACGTGAGAGAGAAAATCAGTTGGAGCAAAGGATGCGAGATCCACAATCTAATTACAGGAGGGGAAAAGTTAGCGTCGAGCTTCGAGGGGGGCCGGCCATTGACCTGGCACGAGCGGAGAGAGTAAGAGTACGTACTAACTATCTAGGAGTAGGAGCAGCAGGAGCAGGAGTCTGTCAGAAGCTCCAGGACAAGGGCAGGCTGAATGAGGAAAGACCACCACCAGCAGCGGTGACTCCACCGGAATCCCACTTACTTGCGGCACGCCAATCCCTTCTGGTGTTTAGTCCAAACGAACTAAACAACACAATGCTACTGTACTCCATATTCTAGTGTACTCCGTTCGGTCGTGGATTTGACTCCCAGCAAGAACTCGCGCGAGAGCCTTTCCGCTTTCGGGTGAGCGCCAGATTGCCCCGCACGCTTTTTTCCCTCCCAAAATACTCCCAGAAAGTCTTCCCCTCATTCGGCCCAGATGGCTGGTCTCCAATTCCAACCATTACTGGAATTTCCCAGAAAGCATCAGAGTGCCATGGTGGCTTGTCGTGCACCCTGAATGATCTTGATGGTACCAGCCCTACGGAAACTCCTTACTATGGCGACATTAGCCTAATCACTTTACTGTATGCACCCCTTGCATGGTGCATCACCAGCATCGCCATGTTGTAGAAGATGTCCTGCATGACATGGAGAAGGGCTGCACTTTGCATGGCCCACGAGTCATAAGCGGGCCCGATTCGGTAATGATGCGAGATGCGGTGGGCATTCTTGAAAAGAAGAAGAAGTAAAAAAAAAAAAAAAAAAAAAAAAAAAAAAAAAAAAAAAAAAAAGAAAAAAAAAAAAAAAAAAAAAAAAAAAAATCACACCGAAAAATTTCTGTAGATTTCTGAAGAAAGATCACACCGTTCAACCTCCAGACTCCAAACCACTATTGTCTCCCATGTCCCCATATCGGTGTCGGCTCTGTGTGCTCCAGCGGGCAGCAACAGCCCGAGTTGGTATCTGCACGGTCCTGGCTACTCCTGACTAGACTATTGTGCGATGATCATCCAAGTTCCTTGGGTGATTGATGTCATCGTTCTGCAGTCTTCATCGATCCAGCCTACACCGGCCAATACTGCTCGGATTGCCGCTTGTTGCCCCTCGGAGAACACTGATCGGAACTCTAACCGGCAATGCAGTTCGGGCAAACAATCAACTGCCGACTTTCCCTTTCATCATATCTTCGTCCATATTCAACTGCTAATAGCGAATAGTCTATATTTCCCTCCTTTTTCATACCTTACCAAACCAGCGAGACTAAAATTTTCCAATTAAGTAATCGATCAGAGAAGGATTGACTGCTACCAAATAGTCCGTGATAATCTCCCAGCTGAAGGTAGGTACCTCTCGCCAAAGTAGCTTTTCCTGGGTGATCTTCCCGTAACGGGACCGGGATTCCAAAAAAACATCAACACCAGGGCGACCTGGTGATGATCCTTACCAGCCATGGGTAGTCCTCAAAGGCCCCCGTTCGTGATGGAGTCAATACTTTTGTCATCACGTTCCAGAGCGGACCCGGTCTTCCGGAAAATGATAGGATCGACGGGATTCCTTGGGCACGAATCCAGGCAACACTGACTGTCCCTGTCCCATGGTTCAATCTCGATATTTCGGAATTAACTCGCAGCAAGCAACTAACTTCAATATCGATGAACATCTTTGATATTTCCCCTCTCTGTCCCAGAGTTTTCTTCTAGACCCCTATCTAATCCGCGGATATCCTTCTATGCATTCTTTTGCCCACGTTCCTGTCGCTCGCCGTTTGGGCGGCGGTTAAAGTGGTTCCCAGCCCCATAAATAGGACTAGCCGCAAACTTTAACGCGAATGGTGCCGGCTGTCCAGCGTTGATCGCCGCCTGGCACGAAGAGTCTGGTTCGACCTGAAGATCCCTGAGGTCGCCCGAATGCCGTGAAAATCAAATTGTGCGCATCGTGGCTCGCTCTGACCATACTTTCCGGGGAACAGAGATGATAGCAGCTGCGTTTACATCTGATTCCAATGGCTGCTGCATCATGATCCTGACATGAAAGATGGGTCCGCGCATCTACCTCCAGGTTTGAAAATGAGTCTTGCGGGCTCACCTCGCCAGCGGCACACAGCTACTGACATGATTCAGACGCTCAATGGCCCACTGTTCATGAAGCACCCTGTTGTTTCAGCTGCAAACCTACACAGTACTCACACCTAGACTCACTCTTAAACAAATCACAAAGTCTGTACAATAATTTTAAAACTCCTTCGAAACCTAGCTCCCTGCCATGAACGAGATGAGACAGGACGAAACTACAGAACTGTTGACTTGGCTGCTTCGGACAAGCTTTTCCAACATGATGGTTACAGAGAATGGAGATCAGGATGTTGTTACAGATCCATCCGCCCGTCTTCCGCGACCGACCAGACATCCGGCAATCTGCAGTATCGTTCCCAGTAACCTGCTTTGGAGATCTAAGTTCCCCCTTACAACCGAGAGCAATAATCCCTCGATCCCAATGTTCTTGTCTATACAAACTTCCACAAAACTCTCTCAGAACACCAAATATCAGCCTTCACAGTCGAATCTCGCCACATTGAACTTACTATCAACATTGACAGCCTTGTCAGCAGATCCCGATGCTCCGAACGAGGGGTAGATTATGTACTCTTGCCTATTCCGGTTTTTGAAGGAGCGGTTCTCAAAATTGGGTCGGAGCCTCAACGGTATCCCGTTTCTGGACCCGAACCTTATCGGGATAATGGGGGATATAGCCTGTGCCCTGCCAAGATGTCAAGACCCTGATTATTTAACAAAGGAGCGCCGTCTTCTATAGTGCCTATTACTTATTACCCTTACTCATTCTAGATAATGTTGCTTGCTTATTCGAACTCTGCATATGGCCACGTGCGGCCAGTTTGATATCGATCGACCGACACTATTCACCATGCCAATTCGTAGCAGGCTGATGTGCGGATCTTGTGTGACGTGGCTTGCTGGGATGCAGGGCAATTAGCAGAGCTATTGTTCATGATGCCGTGGTTAAATTTCGGCTATATGATTGTCATCTAGCTCCTTGGATACTATACTACACTTATCCCTCTTCAGCCTAGTATCATGTCACTGCAGTCTCTGGGAGAAACCATGAGCATGAAGCAAACCATGACGCCCCAAGCAGCAAGAAAACATGATTCAAGGATCTACGAACACGCTCCCAAACTAATCTCAAGCCCATTCGCTATCTCGTGTTCATATTCCTATCTTCCTCACCCCCACCAGGCTCTTAAGCCTCCTTTAGCTCCTTGATTACTATCCCCAACAACCTCCTCCACAAACGGAAAATGTAGCCACCCACGAAACAACTCCCATCCTGCGATCTTCAGAAGCAGTTACAGATTCCCAAAGATTATCCCTCCAAACAAGCACACACTTCCTTGTATGAGCTGAAACATACCAATATAGCATGTGATACATATCACAGAACTGCCAAGCTGGAGCTGTCAATCTCAAGCTAGGATAAGTTTCTCTGAGTCCTGAGCTCTGAAATGAGATATTGTGGAGTTGGATCGACATATCAGCTCAGCTCAGCTGGGAAGCTCCTGTCGGAGATGTCTGTGGATAGCTTAGCTTCGGCGATAAGGTGTCTCTTCGAGTATTAGGTAGGAAATGTAAGTCCTGGTATGACGGACATTTGCCGAGGTGCGAGAATGGGTCTTTCTACTATGTTTGCCTTCGTTTTGGGTGAAGGAATCTTGTCCGTCTGGAAGACTACACATTGCTTTTGCTCTTGGAGTACGATGTAGCTTACCATTTATCGGACTACTGCTATAGTACCTTAGTATTTCCCCTATTTACCCGGATATATTGAAACATACTCGAGCTCTACATATATACCACTCAATCCCAGTTATTAATGGTCTTGTCTTTCAAATTCCCCTCTATTCTCTCTGAACCATCCCAGATTAATTCTAGTAGCTAAGGTTCCAACCACATTATCATGTTACCATCAACTGCACCTCAGACAAAAAGTCAATGAACACTACATGCAGTAATGTTAGCAGCGGATTTCACATAATACTAGAATATGATGAATAGTACAGACTCAACAAGCTTGCTCAACTCAGTCTACACATTATCTCTAATAAACTGGTTAAAATACACGGCAGTTGATTATGGGGTATAACTCCTACTAACTGTGGATTATGATATAGACCCAATGCCACTAAGCAAGTAGCATATATATTCTAATCTGTTTGGACTGTTCCCTAACATTGATTGATCGACTACTAGGCATGCGCAGCCTCGGGTGTATAAGAGAGAGAATAAGATACAGAATGAGAAGGTTAAGATAGATACTAGTAGAAGAGAAAGATTCATTTCCGACATTCTTTATGATTGTATAATGTTACTATAGCGGTTTTGCCAAGTAGGCCAAAAGAATATATCGATGGCTACGGAGCAGACGGGGTTGACTCATATATCTCAGTAACATACAATATACCAGTGGCATCCGGGTGTTTATATCTAGGATCATGGTAGTTAAGGTGCATAACTATCTTAACTACCACGACCCAATGGACTCATGCACTATAAATCTAACAATGCCTTGAATTTTGGCTACAATTCATGATACACCCCAGCTTGGTATCTACAGTATCGGCTGATTCATTGACTCAAATCCAAGTGGTTATTACCCTCGGGACATAGTATACGCCAAGCTAGCTTGGTCCTCTGGGTGACATTCAAGTATTTTCTGAATGTCTTCACCGACTGCTTGTTATATCCAGTTGTCGAGGGGCTAAACCTTGTGTGGATCTGTCGATCTCGGAAATACGGAATTACAGATTTACGGGATTTCCTCCTCACCCACAAGTCAACTGCTTCCGCTAACGATCAGCATCAAAACTTGCTCAATTCTAGCTGGACATTGATACATCAATCTGACCGAGGCATCTTGGCATAACCTAGCCACGCCCTATCACATTGGCTGAATATAGCTAGTTAACTAGATGGAAGAATGCGGTGACTAAGCCGGCTGTTAAGACACCCGAGCTGATCAGGACATCCGTGATCTACAATGGAATTGGCCTCGTCTTAAAGATTCGCATGGTACCTGTGGTGATTGAAAAGGGAAAAACGGCAGGCAAGAAACTGTCGAGCTTGGTGACACAGGACTTTTCTCTCATTCTATTCAACCGCATCACTCATCATGTTGCGACCTTTTTTCTCTCCCGCGCAGCGTAGCATAGCTAAGAAACGACCACTATGTTCGCCTGCAAGGGCACGATATCTTTTCAGCACTTTTGCAAATATCATCAATGGAAAGACCCACGACTCTTCACGAATTCACCAGGGCATCAATCCATCAAATTGCCAGAAGCTTTGGGATGTTCCAATTGCATCGAGGGATGATCTCCAAGATGCTATTGCATCCGCGCAGAAGGCGTTTACCACCTGGTCAGCCGTATCAGGGTCTGATCGTCAAGCTTCCATCGCTCAACTGAGGGATTCTCTTCTGTCATGCAAGGAAGATATGGCCGAGTTGCTTATGAAAGAAGCAGGCAAACCAGTAAGGTTATCTCCTCCAGACACAGTGACTCGTTACTCAACCCCCATACCAGAGGATGCAAGCGACCCTCGAAGTTGACCACGCATGTGGGTTTCTGGATTACTTTGGTACGTCAGATCCCTACTTTACGCGGACCACTGGTTAATACGTCGTTTATAGCAAATGTCAAACTTCCATCCGAAGAGGTTCTTCATGAAGATGCCTCTCTTAAGCTAAGCTTGCAATACATGCCCCTTGGAGTTATTGGGGCTATTGTTCCCTGGAACTTTCCATTGGTTCTTGCCATGGCCAAGGTTGCAGCCGCCCTCGCCGCAGGAAATACCGTGATTGTCAAACCGTCTCCCTACACCCCCTACAGTATCCTCAAGGTGGCCGAATTAGCCATCCCGATTCTGCCCCGAGGTGTATTCCAGGCCATTAACGGTGATGACACGACCGGGCCAGAAATGACTCTGCACCCCGACATCAATAAAATCAGTTTCACGGGATCAACCAGAGCTGGCAAGCATATCCTGGCTGCAACAAGCAACACATTGAAAGAATGCACTCTTGAATTGGGCGGTAACGACCCGGCTATCATCTTCCCAGATGTAGACATTCAAGCCGTAGCCCAGCAAGTCGCCTTGGGTGCTTTCTTCAACAGTGGACAGTTCTGTCTTGGCAGCAAGCGTCTTTACGTGCATGAGACAATCTACAATGAGTTCCGGGATGCCCTGGTTGATGTTGTGAAGACATGGAAAGTGGGACCCGTCGACGAAGATGTCATGCTAGGTCCTATTCAGAATGAAATGCAATTCAATGTTGTCACGGATATATTCAAGGACTGCAAGGCAAACGGATATAACTTTGCTTTAGAGGGCGGCCCCAGCAACGGCCCAGGATATATCTTCCATCCTACCATCGTGGACCGCCCACCTGATGGATCAAGAATCGTCACGGAGGAACCTTTTGGTACGTGAGCCCAGTTATTCCAAGTCATTTGACCATTAACTCAGTTGTGTTTATTTACGCAGGTCCTATCGTGCCTCTCCTGTCATGGAGCGACGAATCAGAGCTCATCTCAAGAGTCAACGACACCAAGACTGGACTTGGATGCTCAATCTGGGCCAAGGATGTGGAAACAAGCAAGAGGCTTGCGCCAAAGATTCAATCCGGGAGTGTCTGGCTGAATAGCTTTGCTAAACCTCATCCTCAGGGTTACTTGTCCGGTCGCAAGGAAAGTGGAATTGGTGGTGAGTGGGGAATGAAGGGCTTGAAGTCGTATTGTGCGACTCAGACGATACATTACTACAAATGATTCGATCTGCACGATTCAATATAACTAGGCTGCGACATCCGCTTCGTTGGTTTATATTCTGCCAGTAATAATCGTGAAATATTAATGTGATGGTTGTCGTTATTTCGGTAGCTGTTGAGACTATATATTCAATGAATGAACATTGGTAAAGAATTTATGGAAGAGTCTTTATAGATAAATTAATATCAAAAAAACACAGAATAATTCTCCTAAAAGAACTAGGTAGTAGTCTAAGTGAAGTTCTGCTCTAAATAATCCATCTAGCTATGAACGTTGTGGTATGGGTTATAATGATTGCTATCGGTTGTGAAAGGGCTATTTTCGATATGCACCGATTCCTCAATGAGGAATCACTATAGTGACTTATTTCTTTCACAGGGGTGATAGTAATACTGTAGTAGTAATTCCCGATACATATAATTATTACTCTTCGCATATTATACTAATTCGCTCCCATCCGACTAGAACGTGGTGACTTCGGACATTAAATGTTTATTCTAGTCTAGTAATCATGCAACTCGGCCAGGCTCTTGATTAATGACCGAAAACTGGAGTTCTATATATAAATGTATAATCGACACACAAACAACAATAGACAATAATCACAATAGAGCACTCAAACTGAAGAATTATATTAAAAACTCTTCAACACGCCACTTTACACAACTTGCCCAAGCACAGCCCCATTAAGCGGCTCTAGGGCATTCCACCGGGTAGAGAGATGTCACGGCGGAAGAACCGAAGAAGTCGATTACCGACTGATGCTAACGCTCCCCACCCCCCGCTTGGTACCAAAAATAGATGTAGATATAGTATTCTCAACCAGAAGTATTGGCACGGTCCGTAACTGGTGCTATCTATAGATAGAAAAGTTGGGGTTCGGACGGGTCATGAAGTTAAGTATAGCCGGTCCAGCTAAAAGAAAATCTCGGTTGAAGAGTGGCGGGAATGGTCGGTGGATGTGGGTGCGTTGTTGATGATTTTGGATCTAAAGTTTAGAATTGCTACGAAGTATTGTGTTGGAAGAATAATACCTATAGAGATGAGATGCCCCTGTTTGGACCAATTGTAGTTGACAACTTGTGACGAATAGTTGGGCGAAGGCTATCCGAGGCATGGGTCATCAGGTGCTTTGGTCTTCGCGCTTAGTCTTTGTGATTGCCTGAGCGGGTAGATGGTAGAACATTGGAGAAGTTGGCTGCAGAAGTATTCCCTGTCAAAGTGTGACACGGCGTTTTTGGACCTCCGCTGTTATCAATCATTACGATCATGGTAAGATTCGGCCGATTCAAGTTACGCTTCCTGCAAGGTGGTAATGAAACCCGGAATACGAGCAGTCAAGACTTGCTAATGTCGGTGTCATTTCTCATAGGTCGACACAAAATAGCTTAGCAATTAGTACAGTGTAGCCTCGGCTGCGGCATAACAACTTGTGAATGTCATAGAACCCCTTTTGATCGGACCCTGAAGCGTTCGTGGTTAATGATCGGTAATAAACACCCCTGAAATAGCACACGATGAGTCAGTAGCGCGTAATTGATAGATTGACTGATTATCAGAAAAGTCTTTGATCTTCGATCCGTGAGGCAATGCGGTGTCTCCGCGCGGAAAGCGACAGGGGTATCGGGTTGATTGCACGGATTACGCCGTTCCTGCAGCGAGGCATACACCGTAGTCAGGATCACGATCCTGCCGCAAGACAGTGCCGTTTCCTGGACTTATCCCCGAGGTGAGTGGGAGTCTGATGCAGATGAGGCCATCATACATTGGAGAGTGAATGAGAAAATGACCTATCTCCAGAAGCAGAGCATCGCGGACTCAAAGACCTTTCATATCTCCCGAACAGTCCAGGGTGGAAATTTGATTCTTTGACTGGGTTCGCTTTTTGTTTCAGCAGCGATGCCGAGACGGAGAGAAAACGACTCGTGCGGTGCCACGAAGGCCTGGCCGCGAAGGAGAGACGAATGAAGACGTGGGATTAACTGGGGCGGAAGCAGCCGTCTGACGTTTTGGCCCGCGTGGCGCGGCCAAACCGCCTGAAACAGGGGGTCTGGACCGCATCCATTATTGGCCAGATGCACCCAGTGAGCGGATCGCCAAGCGTTCCCGGCGGTGGGCTCTTGCTATTGGCTCACCACGGCTCGCTGTATATCCCCATGAAGAAAAAAATAAGTTAAAATAGCAAGTCAATACGCAGCACCAGTGGCTGTACAGGTACCGGTACACGCAGCATACCATACTGGCATACGGGCATACGGGCATACCGTTTAGAGTGTATGCCAGTTACAACCATGGCAGCAGCGCGCTGAACTTTGTTTTATGGATCTGCCCCATGTCCAATGCGTGGCAGTTGTTGGTCTGGGATTAATAAGTTCAAGTCGGCACTAGATATTAGTAGATATCCCCGTCAGTGAACTCCTGACGCACCGTCCTCTCCATCGATCTTCATTTCTCGGGAATTTTCAGTCGTTGCTATCTACCTTCGTTCATCACCCGTTCGTTCCTCTATTCCCGGGTTGATTCTTCACGTTCGTTCATTTCCGAAGGCAGGCCCTTCTTTGTTCTTTTAATAATCCCAGAGACCATCACTCCCTCTTTTCGGATCCCAACTCACCGTCTAATTTTCGATTCCCAACAATGGGTGACGAAGCAAGCCACGATAACCACCTGGCACCCGCCGCGGACCATGATGTGCCCGCTGGTGTCGGAGCAAATGAACTCAGAGAGCCCCCACGAGGACGCTTGACGCCTCGTCCATCTTTTCTGGAGAACCTCGCCAGTTCCAGAGAAAAACAGTTTATGTTGGGAAGACGCAACTCTAGCGAAATCGATCGATATTTTGTATGTCAATATCTGGTCATGGATTGAGAGGGACCGTTTGGACTAACGGGATTATGAATAGCACGGACCGCGAGATCTCGATCGACACTCCAAATGGCCCATCTTCCTTCGAATGCACGGCAGTATCATGCCGAAAATGATTCTGCCACTTACCTTTGTCGCAGCTTGGGCCACCGTCATTACCTGCATCTCCAAGTTTGTCCACAACAGTAGGTTTGTCTTGATCAGATTGTGACTGGACGCTGACCCTATCTTCACTAGTCGGCATCAACGATATTCTTTTGACAGTTACCGGTTTCGTGGTCAGTTTGGCGCTGTCCTTCCGCAGTTCGACAGCCTATGAGAGGTATGTCTTATCCTTTACCTACAAATAAACAGTTGTTAATCTCCATAGATGGGCGGATGGAAGAAAGTACTGGGCACTCCTCAATCAGACGTCTCGCAACCTCGCACGTACCATCTGGGTCAACACGGCAGAACGCGCAGGAGAGGAGGGCAAGGAGGACTTGCTGGCCAAACTGTAACTCGCTTCATGTTCCTTATTATTACCAATTATACTGACAAGCGTAGGACGGCCATGAATCTCATTCTGGCGTTTGCCGTTTCTCTCAAGCATAAACTTCGATTCGAACCCGATGTGGGCTACGACGATCTAGCCGGTCTGGTTGCACACCTCGACACGTTTGCCAAAGAAGCCCACGACCGCCAAGTGGTTCAGCCTCCGAAAAAGACGCCATGGAAGTCAGTCGGTGAATACCTGGGTGTTTCCTTTGCCGAGTCCAATCCGAGAAAGCTTGTCAAGCGGTCCAAGAAGCCCTTGGGCCATCTTCCTCTTGAGATCTTGAACCATCTCTCCGCATACGTCGACCGGTGCATCGCCAACAATACTCTCAACGTCAGTCTCCACCAAGGACAAGCCAGTATGTACCTCATCCCCAATAACGTTTCGGAATATACCTTCTAATTTTCACAGTCACCGCTCTGTCTACCCTGAACGAAGTCCTCACCGGCACCGAACGCGTCCTGGATACTCCTCTTCCTGCCGCATACAGCATCTCCATCGCCCAGATTGCCTGGATCTACGTCCTCGTGCTGCCCTTCCAGCTGTACGACTTTCTTGAATGGGTGACCATTCCGGCTTCCGTCGGTGAGTATTCCCATCCAGTCAACAGAATTCTCTGGTCTAATGATATAACAGTTGCCGCCTACATCATTCTTGGACTCGCCTTTATCGGCAGCGAAATCGAGAACCCCTTCGGCCAAGACGTCAACGATCTCCCTCTCGATACTTATTGCCGCCAGCTCGCCGTCGAGCTTGATATCATCACCGCCATGCCCCCGCCCAAACTGGACGAGTTCGGCACGCGCGAGGACAACTTCGTCCTCTTCCCTCTCAGCACATCCGGTTACCCTGAATGGAAGGACCGCTCGGTCGAAGAGATTCGCGCCGCTCTGAGGGCGAAGGTGGTGGCCAACTACCCCTCCGCAGCGATGTCGGATGCGGCAACGATGATAGGAAGTGTGCGAAGCAAGCAGTCGGTTTAGTGTGGTAGAGGCGATGGGTTAAAAGTTCAAAAGCAAGGATAAGAGGGTAGATTGTTTTGATTGATGTTTTGGGTGGTGTTCAACAAGCATGAGAGTCTGGTGTTCTGTTTAAACAAAAAAGAGGATTATATCATGTGTATCTATGGTTGGTTGGGTCGGTCATTCGTTACTATACTTAGGTTGGTCTTTCGATGTGAATATTTTGGGATCTATTTGATAGATCATACTACTTGCTTAACTGGGTATATGCATAGCTGCTATATCGTACATGAATACAATGCGACCATAATGTGGAATACCACCAGCACCGCAACACAATTCTTGCCACACCCGTCCCCTTCAGCCACTGCCGTGCTGTATGCAGAGCCACTGCCATCTTCGCAGACAATTACCGTCAGATACAGTGAGACCCTTTCTCTACCAAAAAGCAAAACCTCCATACGCACTCTAGCCCGATCGCCGGGACGGCACTCCCCATTAGACTGTGTCCGCGACCATTGAGCTATATACTCCATCATCCAGCAACAACCCCCACCAAACCATATCGACAGAAATCCTCCATATCACGGAACAAACACCTCCCCCCCACCCCCATTTACCAGCGCCCCCAAATAATTCCCCTTCGCACACACCCTCCACGCCACACTGCTCCCCCCTGCCGCATCACCACCACCATTTGTATTCGTACCCGTACTCCCTCCAATCCACGAACTCAGCGCCGCTACAACAGCCGCCGCATCGTCGCGCGGTACGCGTGTCCATACTGTGCTTCCTGATCCCCCTCCTCCTGTTTTTCCTCCTTCGGTAGATGACGACGGCGGCGGTGGAGAAATCTTAAGAATATCAATGGGTATAGTAGTCCCCATTAAACCGAGGAATTGGGATAGTGCGGCGGAGAGATATGTTCGGGCTGTGAGGGGGTCGAGGGGTGATGTGGAGGTGGAAGGGGGGTTGGTTACTCTATTAGTTAAGTTAGTTAGAGTTCTGGTTAATGAGTATACAAGGAGAAGGGTAGGGTAGGGATAGGGGACGTACAATTGGAGTTTCAGGTATGTCCATGTTGGTGTGCGCGAGGTGAAGTGGATGGTTTTGGGGGTGGAGTCGGATGTGGTGGTGGGAGATTTGCGTTTTGATGTTGTGGTTGTTGACATTGTGGGTAGTATTGTAGGGAGTGTGAAGTGGGTTGGTAGGAGGTGAGTTGAAGGAGGTAGGTAGGGATTGAGTTGGTTTGACTTGGAGGATATGCGATGCGATGCGATGCGATGCGGGCGGAGATTGTTGAACTTGGGAAGAAAAGAAAAATCCCCGTGATGTGATGTCACGGCCGGCGGTGCGCGACTGCGGGAGCGGTACAACAAACACTGAATATGAAGATAGATATAAAGTAGGCATTTATTTGCTTAACCAATCAATTAATTGAAATATATCTACATACATATACAGTAAGCGAAAACCATTATTTTTGCATTACAGCCCCCTCTAATATCCCCCGCGTTTTTCGTAGATACTCATCTTCGCTCTGCTTCCCAATATCCAGCTCCGAAATAGCAAGTGTCTTTTCTCGGGACTTTAATCCACGGATAACTTCTACGTTGGATTTGGGGACTTGGAAGATCTGTATTTATTATTGTTATTAACTACTTCATATAGAATTGTGGAGAAATTTGGTAATTATTGAATGAGAGATGGGTGTGCTAACCTGCGCCAAAACACGCGACACGGCTGCATTCGCCTCGCCCTTCCTGGGCACTGCGGCGACGCATACATCTACCCTGTCTGTTCCAATGGCGGTTATGCCTTCGCGGTTGTTTGAGGCGTTTGGCTTCACGTGGCAGGATATTTGGAGGGTGTAGAGAGGGTTGTTGGGCCGGGATTTTGTGGTCGCGGTTTGGATTAGGCGGAGGAGGGGGGATGTGGACATTGTGTTGGTTTAGTTAGGGAGTGTATGATGGTGTGGATGGAACTATGTTGGGATTGAAGATAGGCCTCAATCATGAAGTGATAGTGGATAGTTGGAGTAGATGTAGGTTGTTTGGTGGATGTGGATGATGGATGCGGGTTAGAAGTACTATATCTGGGACCGATTATTGGCTGTGAGATGCGGGATGTATATGGCTCCGAATAGGATCATTTGGTTCACTGCCAACTACTCTACACTACTCATGATACTATGTTGTGATATGCACTGATAGCCATATTATTGTAAGCAGATTATTTATTACTATGGTAGGATGGGTTACTATTACTATAGTCTGCCTGTGATGCTGGCCACTGTCTATCCTAAGGCATCAAGAACCGCGGCTGAGCGATGAGTTACAGCTACAATGCAATAACTTCAGTTCATGCGGGTCCACACTCAGTGTTACTCCATAACAATACCAGAGAGTCAATGGTTTATTCCTTAACATACCAAGTTGTGCCTCGCTGCTGGCTGCCGCCCTGCTTCACCAACTTGCTCACCTCCAGCCCCTTGTGAGGGCATTAACAGCGAACATCCCAGCCTGCAGTACAAAACAAAGGCAATCCCCATGTTGAGTCACAATAACTCACCCAGCCGCGATATTCAATTTCCATTGAGCTATGAAAGCAACAATAGGACCCCACCCAAGAACAAAGGTCGACGTATTGATACCTTTGTTACTACGGGGCCCCAGATTTCAGGGTGGACCCTATCACTGAGGCAGATCCAGCCCCCGGGATTCTGATTGGTCGAGTCAGATCTATAAGGCTCAGTGACTGCTATATTGATGGCTGGTGTACTGAGGTACGCTGTCATGACCAGAGAGAAGTATAGCGGGGATAGCTGTGATATCGGCGAAAGTTGCTTGATGATGCTGATCGTTGGCTTCAGTAGATATTAAGCTTTGCGGGATTGCGTATCGAAAGACAATTGGAATATAGGCATGATTAGATTCGTTGGATAGAGCGGTAGCCGCTCAATCTCTCATCTTCGGTAGAGATCAAAACGATCGTCGGAGCCGCAGAAACGGCTATCCAAAGGCATCAACTAGGAATCTTCGAAGAGCGCACAAGAGTATACCATGTAAATTCCTCTCCTCCAAATCGAACAATGAGATACTGCTCATGGACCATACCCTATGTAGAGCTCTATGCCAGCCCCTCTATTAATTGTATGTTGATAAATAGACAATGGTCCCCCCGAACACCAGGCGTCTCTGTCGAACGTCTTCCTCCTCCTCCTGCGAGATCTTCAAGTTCAACTGCTTCATCTGCTTCGTGAACAGTCTATCTGTGGTTTCGTACTCTTCGTCGTTCATATTCCTTCGTGCATAGTAGCAATCGTCAACTGAGTGCCAGTTTCAAGCTTCATTCCTCTCATACAATCTTTCGGAAAGGCTTCTCTTCTCTAAATCGTTTCCAGTCGTGACAATCGACATAACCATCTTAAATGGCCATCTTCTCTGCTGAAAGCACCAACACTTTTCAGAACATGTTGACGCAGGACTATGCAATGAGTTAGTGTACATCCGCAGTCGGGGTCAAGAAACTAACAATAACCAGTGCAAGCTTCTCATCAAGAATCCGTTCAATCTTCCTACCGTGAGGCGTGCCAAGCCCAAGCCGACTCGGGCGACTTTACTTCTTTTCATCCTGATCAGCAAGACTGGTCATGGGATAAGCTGCCTGACATCCTCTATCAGCTCAAGCCCACCGGCCCTAAGAGCAAGATTGAGCCGCCGACTATGGCCTACCCGATCAACGGAAAGTTCCTGCGCGACATCCCCACCTTGCCCGACCACATTGCTTCCGACGTCGACGAATTCCGCGTGGAAGCCTGGATGCGCCTGGATAGACGGATCCGCCTCAGCGATATCGTCGACCGCATGAACCCTGAGTTCCGCATTGCCCCCAACGCACTGCAGCAGCGCGGCGGACGTTTCAGACAAGCGTTCGGTATGTTGGCCTGGGATTCAGGCAACAAGCTGAGTCGCGAGCTTGAATCCAAGTTGATGCAGACTTTAATGGAGCATGGCATTGATCCTAACCTTAATACCACTCGGGGACTTACCCCCGGCCTGATCATTCCGGCCCTGGGTGAAGCTGGCGGACGGATCCCTCTCCCACCTACCTACTCCTTGGAGAAGCGCAAGAAGCGGAAGCGCTGTATGCGGGCTACTGGACCCAAGAGGCCCAGGAAGATGCCCAAAGTCCAAGAGCAGATGCTTGTCGATACAGCAAAAGAAGCTCTGCGGTTGTTCCAGAATGTCGGACCAGCGCCATCTCAGAATGGATTCGGCAGCGAAATTCCTACCAGCTCTCAGACCACCCAGATTATGATGCCCGGTGAAAGTGTGTTCGCCGTTGAGATGGCTGCTCCCGCCACGATTCCCGTCCCGATTACGGCCATTGTTCCTGACGTGAACGAATCGAAGGTCGACGAGGACTGGCCAATGTCTGATGCGGTCCAGGTCAATGAGCCCGAGCCTCTATACAAGCTTGTTCCCGCCGAGCAGCACTTGGATAGAATGACGGGGCCACTGCCCGTGTTCCGGGGTGAGGTCCCGGACATGGAATTGCCTGGGGCCGTATGCCCTATGGACCTCGACATGACCCTGGGTGCTAAGAACCCGTGGAGCGATGGGTACCGGGTCCTGGAGACGGTTGGTCATTGTACAAAGATCGAGCCAAAGTCAACCAATGGCCTGAAGCCAGGAAAGACTGGCGATGAAACACTCTTCAACCCATATGAAGAGATGTCGCTCCCGACTCCAATCAAGGCCAAGGGCCACAAAGCGGACATCAAGGCAATGCAGCCAACCGGTGGGCTGTTCTTGATGAAACAGCCCCTGGTCCTGGATGCATTGCCGAGCCCTATCCAGGTCGCTCTGTTCAACCATTGCTTCCGGGAGTTGAATGTCGGGGAGCGTTATGTTTTCAACCTGCCATTTTTTGGCCCGTGAACAAGCTTCACAACATCGGTCTTGACTTTGGGCGGTTCGATTCTATTGTTTCTGCGCTTGTCTAATTCTTTCAAAGTCAACTTGTCATTCTGTCTTTCTTTTGTTATGCTGTCCCTTTTTCTTTTTCTTTCTCTTTTCTTTTTCTCTTTCTTTCTTGTTTCTTTTTCCTGTTTCAATCCTCAATATGGAGTTTTCTGGTCTTGTTTGACAGCGAAGGAGAGAGAGGTTAAGATAAGGTTGGGCGCCAAGATGGTTGCCGCGGTTGGTTTGGCTCCATTTGAATCTTTATTTGTTCTTGCAGTATTTGTTGCGCGCAGACGGAAAGAC